TTTTGTCTTCATGTTTGCGGACATTTGTGTCATGGCTAGACCCAGGCAGAGGCCCACTACAAAGGTCATAAACATGCTCGGAAGGTAAAGGCCTTGGAAAACCATAGGAATCGACAGAGGAACAGACTAAATGCATCCACAGCAGGAAAGGATGGAGATAGAGGCAGAGAGGGGGCGCCAATGGGAGGCGTAACAATGCCTATAGACCTGCCATTGAAAGACAGAACAGGTAACAAGTTTTTTCTTTTTCTAAAAGCAACCCTCTCACCACCCCCTGAGTAATTAGCTGTAATTGAAGAGATGCAAGATCTAAGACTTGGTAGCTGCCACTCCGCTGGTTAATTACCAGTCATTACCTGTCCTGCTATCATTTGGTCTGTCAGATAGGTAATTACTCTCATCAAGCAAAGACATTCTGCAAAAGGAAGAGCCCTAAAGCATTTAAAAAGAGATGGGATCCGAAAAGCTGGGATTTTTAGTATGTATTTTCAGCATGTATGCAGTTTCTTTATTATGTTAGAAAATATTTACACTTTAATAGCGAACAAGTCAAAAGTCATGGAAGACCATGTAAAATCAAACAAGAGAATACAGTTAATAATCAAAAGACAGAAGCACAGTAGATGGTCTTATTAAAACTCAAGTCGGTTCATTTAAAATTCTAATTATTCATATTACAAGTTTCCTACAAATGTTTTCTAATGACATCTTAGAGATACAATCTAATTCAGTTAGGTTATAATCTAATTGACTGCACTCTAGATTACACTCAAATTAAATAAAGATTTAAAGTATTTACGTAATACTCATAGAAAGTTACCTTAATAAGAAAACCAGAAGACACCATCGACAGCTTTTCTTCAGTTCAGTCCCCCTTCCTGAGCATACACAAGATGACAAAATGATGGGAATTTAAGAAAAAGGATTACCCACGCCTGTATCAAAAAGGAAAGTTTTAAGATTCGTTTAAAGGGCAAAAAGGGATCACTGATGGCTGTGCTGTTTCTGTGATGTACTCTTATATTTTTAGGACATTATTTATTTGCTAATCATCACAAAATTTAGATAATTAGAGATCTTAAAAGCTTTCGAGATTGATTGAGTCCAGTGTGGAAGTGATGCAGATTTTAGGGGTACATGAGTTGGACTCTATTTTGAGATTTTGATATATTTGAGATTATCCTTAATCCCAAATATTTTTTAGCTAAAAATCTTATTTTAAAGGTTACAAACAACAATCTATTTGCAGACTAAATTAACCATAATCCATCAATTCTTAGAAACACGAGTGCACAGTAGCTGCTGGATCCTTTCAATTGATTCTTGAGCTGAGTTTATCTGCTATTCGAGTAATGATTTTGCAGTTTACTATTCTATCATTTCTGCCATCAGTCCCCCTGCTACTCCTTCTAGCTAACAACAAAATATTGCTGGCTTCCTTTATGTCCTCTCTGGCTGCTTCTCCTTCCCATTATTGATCCTCTCACACCCATTTTCTTTTGCTGCCTATCAATTTCACTCTAAGCACATAATGATAAGCTTGTTACATTCAGTGGTTGCCATGGTTGTTGATTGATGGTAACAGAGGGAGCTTCAGCAGAGCGAGCCAACAAATGACAGAGAGGCACAGTGACAAAGGAAGACTAATTGGGATCGCAGAGGAAAAGGATGAAAATTCATGAAAATGAAGGATACTAATAGAAAGAAAATCAAATGTTATCAAAAAGTGATGTAAAAGAAAAGGAACAAAGAAGACATCATTTGCAAATTGTTTTTCAGACCCATAGAACACCTTGATTTTGTGTTATATCCAGCATAAACATACCTGGGCAACTTCATTGATTGATATAATTAGTAAATGTATTTTTTAAAATCCAGCATTTACAGGATACAACTGTAGCCACTTTTCCGAAACAGAGAAGCAAATATTTTCCACTCGATTAATACCAAAGATACAAATGAGACTATTTCTGTTTAACAAATGGTGGTCACTGACCGAGAAACAAACAAAAACAGGCAAATGACGGGGGAAAGGTTATTATTCATGAACATAAAATTCACAGGAGAAAGCCACAGGAAACCAGATACACACCGTCAATACACGTAGACACACTCACACACACACACACAAAACTCCTCAGCTGGATTAAAAAATTCAGAGGTTGGAATGTGTGTATTTATAAAGATTATTGTTGGACTGAACAAACATGAACATGGAAGCTGATGGGTAATATAACAATGAGTAGAAGTAAGGAACAAAACATTGTAAAAATCATTAGAATAATATATCTGACTGACACTTACCGTCTCTTTGGGATTTTGCCTATCTGTGTTTATCCATCTGTTGTCAGACTCAGGCTCTCCAGCCCAACCTGCACTGCAGCAGCCTGAGAACAACCAGGAGAGCTCAGTAGTAACAACGTCATCCTCGCAAACTTCAAACGCAGACTGCTCCTCTCCCCCCTGTCCTCAACAAGTCTCCCCTGGTTCTCAGCTGCCTGATCTACCTTTGGATGCTCCACATGTGGATGGCTACATCCCAGCCACTGATTCAGCCCCACACTCCGACCCTCAGGGAAGCTCCACGGCAAGCGGGGAGGAGGCAAAAAAGTCGCAAGAGGTTAAAG